AAATGAATCTAATTACTCAACACATCTATTAAAACGTCTTCAAGCATTCACTTAATCAAAGAAGATTCTCCCACCACTGAGAGCAGACCTCTCTTGCTTTGATTGAGCTGAGGCCTTGGAGGTCTTTTTCATCAAATAACTGATTCATTGAAACAAAGAAACGATAAGAGATGAAAGTTTTTCATTTYCTTTTGTTGTTTGCTTTCCTAATCATTTTGGAWCTCTCATCGGGACAAAACGAGACAGGTATTTAATATGATTATTAATAGTCGTACAGCAGAGATGGTGTTGAGGCAATTCGTATTATATCTTTTGCAGTTACTATGTTGCTCATTTTTCATTGATTGCTCGCTTCTATTGAATGTATCATGCACCCACTAATTTACATAAAACTAGGTGTTTGGAGCAGAGGATGTGTTATTGGATAGAGAAAAATTGTTTTTTGTCTACTTTCTATTTTAATCTATTTCTACATATAATACAACCTCTTTATGAACTACTGATGAAGGTCAATGTTCAGACCGAAACGTCTAGGGAAAAAAATTAAACTAAGCCAGAGGTAACAATTAGCTTTCAATTATTATRRATCCTGGCTGCAATTTATACATATTTCAACATAGATTAATATTCAAAACCTTTTTTTTTAAAGCGACTAATTCCAATAAGGCTAGCCGTCTCCATATTCTTATCAAGGACCAAGATAACAACATCGAAAAATCAACCCGAGCAACAAGTAAGTTTTCTCATCGAGAGGGAGAGAGAGAGGGAGAGAGAGAGAGAAAGGTAGATAGTTCAATATACTTTATTATAATTTTTTTGATATATAACGCGCGCTCTGATTGGCTGACGACCGTGTTTATATCAGAGGACAGAGACACGGCTTACCGGCAAAATGTTCTTTTCGCTAGAAAAAGTTTATAAAAGAAATATAAAACGGGCCGCTTGTGTCTCTGTTCTCTGATATAAACACGGTGGGAGTTGAAAAACACTCGAGAAGCAAGAGAAACACTCGCTACGCTCGTGTTCCTAAGCTTGCTTCTCTCGTGTTTTTCGAACTCCCACCGTGTTTATATCAGAGGACAGAGACACGCGCGCCGTTTTATATTTCTTAAATACAGAACATAACCACACAGCGTTTTCGCGTGGCTCTTTCTTCATCTGCTTTTTAGCTATATTAGAAGACGCCGCTCAATCACTGTCAGTACACAGGTTTACACACGYGTGACGTCATGAGATCACGTGATCAAAAATTAGACGTACCAAAGGCGATATGTTAAAAGCTGTATTTAATATCGACAAATTAACCGAAAACACGAAAAATAATAATTCAACCGATGTAAAATAGTTTCAAGTAACTATGGCTATTATAATTTGCCAAAAAAAAGCCATAAAAAGCACAATTTACAAGCAGCAACTATACCTTTCCCGAATTCGCCTGGATGAACATGAAACAATGGTTTCAGTTCGAGGCTTGATAGACGAAAGAATCAAGTTCACTCTCGATTTTAATCCATTCTTCTGTGATCAGCAAATTCGGGAAGGGTCTATTAAAATACGGTCTTCCTTAATACATTTAATGGTCCCTTGAGAACACAGTACTTTTTAATTTTACAACAAAACAGTTACATAAGATATTATATCACAGCAGGCTAGCCACACACTCTCTTATTTAAAAAAAAATATATATATTTAAGAAATATAAAACGGCGCGCGTGTCTCTGTCCTCTGATATAAACACGGTGGGAGTTTGAAAAACACTAGAGAAACAAGCTTAGGAACAMGAGCGTAGCGAGTGTTTCTCTTGCTTCTCGAGTGTTTTTCAACTCCCACCGTGTTTATATCAGAGGACAGAGACACGCGCGCCGTTTTATATTTCTTCGAGCGAAAAAAAAATTTTGCCGGTAAGCCGTGTCTCTGTCCTCTGATATAAACACGGTCGTCAGCCAATCAGAGCGCGCGTTATATATCAAAAAATTTATAAATTTGAAAAAGAGAAATTACAGGATTATTGTATAACGGAAAATATGTATAGTTACTTCGAAAGAAGTATAGAGTGAGAAGAACTGTTTKGTGTAACTGATGTTTATATATTCAAAAATATCTTTCATATAAAAGTTGAAAAGTCAAAAATATTATAGGTGTGCCCGAGATTACGATAAACGAAAATTTCACACGAGCCTAAAKAGTCAGATTAATTGTAAATGTACTTTAATATTAAATTTTAATAATAGCCACACCCTTCTGAAAAATCCTGGATCCGCCCTCTGCACAGACATTGGTATACTCCAATTTCGAGTTCTGGTTTGCTCTGTGTTCAAAACCAAGTAGCATATTCTTTTGTTTTATTGATAGCCCGAGAAAACGCATGGAATTTGTGAAGAAAGACAATAAAATTATTTTGTTTTCTCTTGCTCAACTATAGCTCCATTCAATTTTACATAATGCAGCAACCAGTGCTTCACAGTTTTATTGTTGAAAATACCAAATAAACTCAGATTACAACTGTATTAGCATAAAACTGTTTAAAAATAGTGTAACGACATTTTTACGTATGTAGAGTTTCATTAAGACTTTAAATTAAGTAGAGCAAGTTTTCCCTGCGCGAGCGGCTGACGTCCTATTGGTTGCTTTCGATTGTACCCTCCCCTGCCTCGTCTCGCAATTGTTGAGCAATGACCCCCGTAGATTGATAGATGTTTATTGCCTTTTGTTAGAATTCTCTCYTCTTTTGGGACCACTGTGCCTCCGGACCAAATTAGTTATAGTCAACATTACTTTAGTCTGAATATTAGAATTCAACGGTCGATAAAAATAACTTCCCGAACAGCAAATCATTGACGAAGAGCTTCAAAACAATCCTTGGGCATTCATGTTTATTGTGGAGCAGTTAAATGTGGGCAAAATAATGGATTTTGACAAAAAAAAATCGAGTGCAAGTAGAGGTACTGTTGGAAATCTTTGCGTGCAGTCTCCAACCTTGTATTGATACAAGTAGGTTAAACAATGGTATGTCAAAAATGGCGTAAAACCTCTTAAAAACGAAAGATTTTGAATTCAACCAGCAAGGTAAAAGACGTTTTCTTTATGTTAGAATATATTATTTAGACAAAAAAAAWTWAAAAAATTGTGCGAACGACATATTTTATACTAAAGTTATTGAGCCTGGGTTTTGAACAATATACTACACAGATAACGAAAAGCTAAACAAAAAAAAGCAATTATTCTTGTAAATTTAATATGTGTTTTCATTGGATCAATAATTTACATCGACATAAAAGCTTAGTAAGTTTACATTCGAATTCACAGGATTACCGAGCGGAAGTGAAATTAAATCTTATGAAAATGATGACTTCGTTAATTGTTGTTGTTAATTAAAACCTTTTTTTTTTTCCTTTTTTTATATTAACGGGGTATTTTACGAGTAATACCATGATTACCTCGGATTCTTTTGTCTTCCGAGGGATGTTTACAAGCGAACATCCCTCCCTCATGAATGGGATGAGGGACAATTACTACTAATCGTCCCTCATGCATGATAACATGAGGGACGATTAGACTAATCGTCCCTCATGTTATTCATGAGGAACGGAAGGCAAAGGAAACCTTTGCTTCCCAGCAGGGACAACTGAATGTCCCTACAGCTGTCTTCTTTTTACCTCTGCAATGAACGGTCTGGTTATCGTCTCATTCACACTGAAATGTGGGATGATTTTTGGGACAAATTGACCGAGTAGCTCTGGTTCCGAGTATCTACTTCGTACTGCTGAGCATGTGCACTTGACGAATTTTAATGTTTGATAATAGTTGATAAGCTTCTTGGCATTATAYTTGCAAAAACAACTTTTCGCGGTTGAAGTTAAGGTTCGTTAACTTCAGCATTGAATAGAACTGAAAAGCAATTTCAAACAAAGTTCGTTGTGGGAAATCAGTAACAATGGTCGGATTATCAATATCATTTTGTACTGTTGTTCGGCGAGTGATACTCTTAGAACAGTGCGTATCCTTTCTTTTCATGTCATATTCCAATTCATGCATGAATTGAAAACATTGGAGCATACAAAAAAACAAGAATTCAAATTCGCTCAAGTTCAATTTTTTCCTCGGAAATCATGGTATTACAAAGTAATAGCATGGCTTCCTCGGGAGATTAGGGATTAAATGTCCCTCAGCCTCGGGCAGATAAGTAAAAGTCCCTCCGGCCTKCRGCCGTCGGGACTTCAACTTATCTGCCCTCGGCTTCGGGGACATTTAATCCCTAATCTCCCTCAGAGCCATGCTATTACTTATAATAATAAAATGCTGCCATAAGTACCTAGCCAATAACGTGTAGTAGTGTTTAATCAAATCTACCACTTTCATTGGTGAAGGGGGGMTATTGTTCAACTATTTTCTAATGTACAAATTCACTTTAAAGAGGATTCCAACAAAAATTATGAATTTTGATAAAAGAGCAACAAGTACATATGGGTAAAAAAGAGATTTCTTTTGCAGTTCAGACAACCCTTGCACTCCCTTTTGGCAACAGTAGGAAAATGTTTCTGCAGATTGTCACTTTGCATAGTTAGTACATTAGTAAATCAAGCTCCGAATGGCAACACAACTCGGAGATTGTAGGGTGATTTTGATTTTTTTAACAGAATATGAAATTGAAAAGTGTACCACAGAACTTATCATGATCAGCTAAAATATTTTATTGCTGTAGTATCATCAACAAACCCACGATCGCAGTCAGTCTTCGCCGGCAAATTCAGCTACAAAACTCGTTTTGCTATACATCCAAATTTTCTAACTTTCTTCAAAATGACTAAGTACGATGTACTCCAAGTAAGTCAAGTACATTTCCCCGAAAATTGTCTCCTAGACCAGCTTTAGAGATGTTTATAGACTTTATATTTCCCCGGTTATTTCTTGGTCCGCCATTTTGAGAGCCTTTTTTTTTCAGCGGATTTGCAGAGCCTGCGATTTTTTTACAACGGCTATCTTTAGTTTACAGGAAAGTGAGTGACACATCGTCCACCTCCAATAACTCTTCGATTGTTTACGTAATCTCCGAGTTAAAAATGCCATTAAGTAGTAGTCTTACCATGTTCATAAAAGTGATTTTTAACTTCTGCAGTAAAAGCAGCTTAATGCGCGCAAAGGCCTATATGAGGCGTCAATAATTATAATTAACGTTTCTATTCAGACGATGGAGCATGTTTTGTGCGCACCTACACCATCCCAGAATCTGTGCTTAAAACCCTGAACCTCAAAGAAGTTCCAATGACATGGTATGAGACACCCTCGGTTGTTGCCTTGGGACCAGGTAAACATTGAGTTTATTCAGTTGGATCTATGCAGATAAACTGTAGAGCTACCGTGGGTAAGGAATTACTTCAGTTAATCAAGTGTTTATTTTCCAAAGGCCCTTTATACAGACCTAACAATAATGCTAAATTAATAGAAACGTATTGATTGTCTGATGATATACAAACGTTTGGTAACATTCRTGGGATGCAGTAGCTTTAAGTTTCCTGAGATTGATAATATGTAAATAAGGTCTTAAATCAGTAATAAAGGGCTTGRAACAAAGAACGATTTGACATATCAAAGATTTGCCTCAGAAAAGTTCATCTTCGTTTATAGCARACATATATGGCAATCTTACCTTATTTGGGAGTAGGTGCGGACTGATTTTTGGCGAAATTTTCTCGAATGTTTTTAAAGATTAAAATCGTCTGAAACTTGTACAGATGTTACAACAAAAWCACTTCTGAACAATTTGTTTATTTCGATATATGGCATGGATGCGCTAAAGGAAGACCAAAACTAAAACGCACTGGGAACCCGCACGAATTCTTTGATATGTTATAACTAAAATACCAGTGGCATTTTAATTTTATTGGTTCTTACTAGGAAACAATATTTAACGATTATTTTCCGRATAATTCATATGTACAAATTTATGGTTCAGCATTGGGTCTTGACTACAATAGAACGCTCGATGCAAGTAATAAAAAGTCGTTATGTAAATGTACTTATATTCTAAGGCTGCTCTGATCGTCGAGGACCGCTTGGAATGGAGSATGGCCGGATCTTGAAGCAGCAACTAAAGGTGTCTTCACAGATTGATAAATACTTTGGTGCTAACAATGCTAGACTAAACCTTACACCAAGGCCACCGCAAGGCGGTGCTTGGGCTGCCAAAACAGCTGATACAGAACAGTATTTAACAGTCGATTTTGGTCGAAATATGAGAGTTATAGAAATTGCTACACAAGGGAGAGGAGATATGGATAGATGGGTCACGAAATACAAAGTGTCTTACAGTGAAGACGGGAAGTCGTCGTCATCCACATTTMGAACCGTCCAAGAAGAAAGCGAGGACAAGGTAATGTTAAAAAATCATTCTAAAAATATGAACTTTCAAAGCTTAGATTGTGAAAATATAAAACGGTGAGAATAAATTGATATGGTGAAAACACAACATCAGAAATTGAACATAGTGAAGATATACAACGTTTTCACTAAACGACTATATTTTGTGCTAAGGCCGACTTTTAAAAGTTTACAATTTTGCCTACAACGGTAGCATGCAACCTAAGTAGGTCATCCTTACATCATGGCTAAAAATATTGTAGGGCTATTAGKCAATTGTTTTAAATTCCCACGGCAGTTGTAGTAATGACCAGATTTCGTGTAAAAATATTACGTTGAACACGTCTGTTTAATTTTTGCATTGAATACAAGTCACCAGACGGAAATGAAACATACAAAATAGTCGAAAAAGCCCGGGGAAAGCGTGTGAGGTTAATTTGCAACTGATAAAGATGAATATTGAACGAGTAGGCATGTACAGTATAGGCAGGCTTCAGTCGTTTCCGACTATATCATTTGTGGATTCAACATTTTCAGCATCAATATTGGATGGACRGCTACGTCGCCTTTTCAGTTTTTCGAGATTAGCGTCAACATCACTTTGCATACCGTTCTTGAAATTGGTACGCCAACATTTTTTTATAAGAGTAGTCCAGGCGACGGGATGCATGTGGAAATCTTTCAARTCACTTTCCAGAACATCTTTATACCTCAGGTGTGRTCGGACRATTGCTATTTTGCCATCTTTCAAAACACTGTGCAGAATGCAATGAGGAAGTCTGAATTTTGGCATTCTGTGCACATGACCAGCCCATTCCAAACGATTGAGCTTCAACAAGGAAGAGAGATGTTTGGGTTCAGTAACATGGAAGAGTTTCTCGTTAGTCATTTTATGTTTCCAAGAGATCCCGAGTATAGCTCTAAGCGATCTTGTATGGAAAGCACTGAGACGTTTTTTCTTGAGAACGATGAGAAGAGCCATAGAGAAGAGTACTCAGAACACAGAGCTCACACACTCGCACTTCTGTCTTGATGGTAAGATGTTTGTTTCTCCAGACATGATTCTCTATTTTAGCAAAGACAGTGGAGGCCTTGCCTATTCTGATGGATATTTCTTTGTCAAGACAGAAGTTAGGTATTAAAGTTATGTTTGAAATAAGTGAAAGAGGCGACATTTTCAGTTGTTGTATTGTTTAGTGTCGTCTCCATTTAAGGATAGCACTATTGACTTCTTGAGGCTGATTGTAAGACCAAATTTACTGTAGGCAGTTGCAAATCCATCTAAAAGTTCTTGTAACTAGATGGTTAAAGATGCACAYAGAGCAGCAGCATCTGCACAGAGAAGCTCACGATTAACAGCTTCTTGAACTCTTGTTTTGTCATTGAATCTTAATAAGGAGAAGAACCCTTAACCCATCATCGCGGGTAAGTAGCGAGACACCAATATGGTTTGGAATGTTTTGATATGCTGTTCTAAAGAAATAGGCAAAATAAATGCCAAAGAGAGAGTAGGGGCTAATATACAGCCTTGTTTAACAACTCTGTTGATGGGAAAYTAACTGGGTCGGAGGGCAACCAGCTTTCAGAAGAACAGTAARCAGAGATTCTCTACAAACAATGTCGAACGCCTTGGTCAGATCTATGAACGCCACATGAAGAGGTTGTTGTTGCTCACGGGACTTTTCCATCAGGTGTTGTACCACATTGTGATTCTGGATAGACATATTCAGCGAGCAGTTGCAATCAATTGAGGATGATCTTAGCTAAAACGTTTCCAGTTACGCAAAGTAGGGAAATACCAAGATAGTTTCGCATACTAATTGGCTCAGTTGGTTGAGCATCGGAATACAATGTGGGAGGTCGTGGGTTCAAACCCTGGCCGTACCAATTCTCAGTGTCTTAAAATAATTGAGCAGAAGTTGCTCCTTTTGTTTCTTCACCTGCAAATGGTAAGATCTTCACGTCCTCTCGGATAACGACGTTAAATCGGAGGTCCCGTCTAATCTAMTCTAACCATAACGTTAAAGAACCACTGAGGACGCAGGTGCGACCATCCTCAGTGTCTGTAATTCGTCCGCATAACCTTGATGGCACTACCACACTAACGCGCTAACAATTCTAACGTACTCATGTTTGTAAACTGCACGGCTGCTTAAAGCGCCTTCAATAGCAGTCTGTCCAAGTCCCTCACTATCTATGCAATCCAGATGTAATTCAGATCATTGGTCTGCAAAATCTGGAAAGTCGGCCACATCTACATCTACATCTACTTCTACATCTACATCCACATCTACATCCACATCTACATCTACATCTACATCTACATCTACATCTACATCTACATCTACATCTACATCTACATCTACATCTACATCTACATCTACATCTACATCT